GATTGGTTGATTAGATAATTGCATTAATGAGAAATTGAACAGGTGTTCCTAATAATCCTTTAGGTGAGTGTATATAGTGTGTTTTTTTGCTCCCTTCCTAGACTGTCTGTGGGTCCTCAAGGACTGAATTAGTAAACACTGATACAGAGAATGCAAAAAAATAAAGCAGTGATTTCTAAATTTACTTTGACTTGTACATCATTGCAGACAGTATGGTTACAAGATATTTCATGTTTTGTGTGGTCAGCTTTATTTCACTTGTTAACATACACTATATGTGCAAGAGAATTGGGACTCGCCTCTTAATCACTGAATTAAAATGTTTCATTCAGACCCATTGCCAACGGTGTATAAAATGAAGCACCTAGCCATGCAGTCAGGTCTACAAACATTTATGAAAGAATGTGTAGTTCTGAAGAGCTCAGTTAATTCAAGCGTGGTGCTGTCACAGGATGTCAAATTTGTGATAACTCAGTTTGTGAAATTTCTTCCCTGCTAAATATTCCACTGTCAACTGTAAGTGGTTTTATTGCAAAGCGAAAGCGTTTCGGATGTAGGTGAGAGCAAGCTGCCCATGAAGGGCAGCCACCTGCTGCAGTGCCCAGAGAGCTGGGGGTTAGGGACCTTGCTCAAGGGCTCGCAGATGTGCTGAGGCTGGGCTTGAATCGGTGAGCCCACTGAGCCATCCATGACAAGTTATATGGCTAAGCAAGACAACCTGCTTCAGCTTTTGCTTATTTTGCTTTATATTCCGGGTTCTGATTGACAGAGTCAGTAGACCAATAAAGAGCTGAGACCCTCCTTCCTAGTTCTGGGTAAACGGCTCCATGTTTGTAGTCCCCAAGCAGCGTCACGCAGGGCAAGATGTCAGCATGTGCCAGTCGTGGAATCGGAGTCCTCCGACAAAAGCACTTATATCTCACAAACGGAATATCATTGAAAGAAAATTTATTCCAGAGACTCTACAGAATCCAGAGGTCCCACATTTGGATAAGTCTTAAATATCCGCAGGTAATCACTCTAGCTCTGCATAAGTAAATTGCCAAACAAGTTAGAATTTCAGCTCACTGGCTGTGCTTTTAAGAGTTTCAATAAAAGTTAGCTAAATATTTTTTAGGGTTATTGATTGAACCTTTGGAGTTAGTGGATTAGCACTTACTGAAGCTAATCTTTCAGTTAGCTGTGT